TGTAAAATATAGTATTTATTGTCCTTGTTGTTGTTTTTGCGTTTGTTGCTATTGTCGTTGCACTTAAACGTGTTTAACTGTAAGTGTTTAACAGCTTTGGACGCGAGTGTGTACTATTTAAAATGATTATGGGCATATGCCAACATATGCATGTAAAGAGTGCACAGTGCATGCAAAAAGGCATAAGTCGATAAATGAAAATTTTGTGGTAATCCATTGAACTTGTTTGGAACCGAATCGGCTGTCAATAATTTTTCTCAAATATTTTTTATTGTAAAATATCAAAAGCTAACAGTTGCTTTTCGATTTGGCAACAGCGCCAACTAGCGGTAAAAATATTTGCAAATGCTATGCGCTCTCAATACAAATTTCGTATTCGAACGGGTCAAGGAGTGATTGGCATTGACATTTGAAGCTATAAAAGAGAAGAGAAGAGGTGTCACCTAACGGAATTTTTTTCGTAAATCCAAGGCTTTAGTCGTATAAACAAAGATATCGAAAATAAGCTCAACGGGACTATACATACAGATTGCAATAAATCGATCTTTGCGCCACCTACCTGGTTAATCCGGAAATAACTTGACTGTGGTGCCACCTAGTGAAATAATTTTTTGTGCACGAAATTCTCTTAACCTTCTTCTTCTCTATTGGCGTTGGCTCCGCTTGCTTTCCTTCTTTTCGCTGTGATCCCACTTGGCTGGCAAGTTTTCTTTTATCCTTATTAAGTCATATTTCGGAGATAACTAAAAAAAGAAATTTATACACTAAGAGAGAAAACCGTCAAGTCGATTTTTTCGATTTTTTTCCATTTGTTAAAAATGTTCAATTTTGAGTTGTGCCTTTTTTGAGGTATATGTGAATATAAGTAACAATAATAAAAAATTTACCAATATGTGAAATTGAAAATAATGAAAAAAAAATAATTATTAAATATTTACGTACTTACACATATATGTATGTATGTAAGTATGCATGTGTGAGCTGAGTTAGTAGTAAACCGTTAATTAACTTCAGTTAACGAAATAGGAATGCTGGAATAACAACTGGCCGGATACAGAAGTTATTTTTTTATGACGAGATTAATATTTTAAAATTTCTTTTGTTGTAAAAAATATTTCACATTAAATACGGTGGAATTCCACGTCCTTTAAGCAGTGATGAGGTAAATATTAGAAGTATAAAACCGAAGAGCATTCTTCAATGATAAGGGACCATGGTTATTTGGCATTTCAACGATTTCAGTTGTTATTTTCAGAAAACCTGCTGCTGCTATAAAATATTTGGAACTTATCACAATTCAATCTCTAGCCGCAGGATATTGACTAATTGACAGTTAAGCATAACCCATCTGAAGGACTGGAAGAAGCTTTAATTGGCGTCTTATGTATTTCTCTTTTCAAACCTTTTTCATTACAAGCACAAGGTTGGGAGAGTCGACAGATTCAGATTCTCATTTTTATAATGAGTGTGATGAAACAAAGAGACTAAAAATAATATTTAAGTTGTCTTATAGTCAAAAGTTTTTAGAAAAGAAAAAATTCAAATGTATTTACTCTTCAGTGAGAGAGCTTTCGCGCCTGGAGGTTACTGATTAAGTTGTGGGATTGCTTTCAGAGCGGGTTGGGAAAGTAATAGTGGTCGGCGAAGAAAGCAATGACTGAACTAAAATCTGGAGAAAACAAAAATAAAGGCTTCGTTAAACCCCTGCCAAGCCTTTAGTTTTGTTTTATCCAGTTTCTAGTTCTGAAACATGTGGTTTGGTTTCCATAGATTTAAGTCAAGTTAGGTTGAGCTGACTGGTCCATTATGACTCACATCGTCGGTAATAAATCTATAGTGTTGCCAGACATACTACATCCGATCTAGCTGCATGTTAGACTTTTTATTGTGTTTCTTGTGTTTTCTGTCGAATGCTGAACGCTCTTTGATTACTTGTGCCACTGTCTCCACACATTTTACATTTCCTGCACTTTTTGTCCACAATCAGACCTATATAGCGTCGCACGCCTTTGTCAAAAAAAAAGCTAGATCAAAAGCCCTATTTGCCTGGAATCCGGCTTTTTTACCGATAGCAGAAACTTTGTGGAGAACTAGTAGGTCATTATTATGTCGTGTTCTAAAATGACTCCCTCCTTAGCCACTTTTCCAGCTATTTCATCGCCTTCAATACCCTGGCACCCAGTAAATGTAAAGTATTTTTAGACAGGCGACTTATTAAAGCCTTTATGGGAACCTGACTATCCCCATAAATGTGTACTCTATCGCCATTTTTATAGCAAATATTTTGTCGAGCGCTATACCTATAGCGATGATTATTGCCTTTCTTGATAGCCGTGAAATCGTCCACAAATAATTTCTTCCACTGGAGCAAACCGTAACTCAAGTATACTATCGCCAAGTACTCGAAAGTTTGCGAAAACAAGTTAACAGGGTGCGCCCAGACATCGCTCATAACTGGATCCTTCATCACGACTACACGCCGTGCAACACCGCTCTCAGCATGTCCCAGTAATTGGCGTCTAAAGGGATCGCCATGTTGCAACAACCGCCTTATTCGTCCGATATGTCACCCTGTGGCTATTCTTTGTTCCCTAGAACAAAATCGGTTGCCAAAGGAACCCATTTTGAGTCGATTGAGAACATCCAGGCGGCCGCGACGAAGGTACTCGCCGACATCCCAGTCGAAGCGTTCCAGAAATGTTATGAAGCATGGAAAACGCGCTGCAATCGTTGTATAGCTGTCGAAGAAGACTACTTTGAAAGGGATGACAGAGTTGTAGAATAATTTTGAAATATACGATTTTGACGAAATCAGTCTCATTACTTAATTTTCATACTTCATATATAGGGCGGCTGATGCCTTCTTCAGCCCCTGCTCTGCATTGAGTCTCCATAACAACCCGTTGAGCCAACACAAGGTCTCCTAAGTACTTAATGCTAGGTTTTAGCTTTAGAATGACCCCTGCTAGCTTTGGCTTGCTCCAAGCTAAAATTTGATATTTCCTTGTGAATAGCACCACATCTGTTTTATCAGTATTAACCTGAAGTCTAGCTGATATAGCCAAGTTGTTGTTGGTTCGCCAGAGATCCGAGGGTTACCGAAAACTTTTCACCTACTGACTGACTGAGATATCGTCCTCACAGACTGTAAGCAAGTAAGCTCCCTATACATCGTCTTCAGTAATCTATTAACCAGAAGATTATCTTCAACTTGTGGAGTTCTTCTGGTTGTAAGCAGGCCAACTTCCCCTTACATCGTCTTCAGTAATTCATTAATCGCAGAGTGTCCCAGCACCTTCTGGAGTTTTCTCGTGCATATCTCGTATCACCACGTCTAATGGACTTCCCATAGATGTAAATATGAAGGAAATTTCGTCGGTCTGTAACAACAACAGCAACATTGCCAGACTTGAAGCACATTTCCCACCTCGTTGCTGATTTTAAAGTAGACTTCGACGGTACACTGAGTAGCTGCTTCTAAATTTGGTATCGCCGTAATGCTTAGACGTCCTTATAAACTGACGTTAAGCAACACCAAAAGCTCCATTGGGATCGGGAAATACTTTGAAACCTAATTCCCCAAATATATTTTTCTGACTTAGTGGCAATTAAAAAGTAAGTTCCTCTTCCATTCTCAGAAGTCCTTCGTCAACGATGAGTTGACGTTTGGAGTTTTAGAAGGTAGGTTATTTGGAAGATGGATAGCTTGGTGTCTCCAATCGAAGCCAAAGAACAATCGTTTGAAGTTTTTCGATCCAGACTCAATGTAAAAGGCAATACTCAGCTGTCCATCAGTTTGTAGTGACACTACTGCTATTGCGATCGCAAGATTCGGGTATTCCTATTGCACTTATAAAGCCACACGTTGCTGTTGTGGATGTTGTTGTTATAACTGCAAAATATGCCTAGAATTGGTTTTCGGGGAATATTGTTGAAGTGACAGTGCGGCTCGTTCCGGTATAAAGAGCCGACTGTTGCGGGAACTATTGGAGTTTAGTTGCCCCTTGCAACAAGCATGCCTTACCTGCCTTACCACGGGTAAATTGTTGTGCTCCTATGATAACTCGCAGGGGCCACATCATTTACTTCAAAGATTTCCCTTATTTTACTTTATTTCTTTCTCCTCAATATAATTAATTTGAAATTCTTCACCTGCTCGTTGGCAACTCTACTCTTTCTCCAATTAACCGTTGGTACGACAAAAATGCAATAAAAATGAGTATTAAACAAATATATGTGTCAAATGCAATTTGAATACGCTCCCAAAAGCAACGACAAATAAAAAAGAAAATTATAAAAATGAAAAAAAAGAAAAAATGAGAAAATGTGCATATATATGTATGTATATAGTTTGGGTCATTAAATAGAAAGCTAGAGATATGCAAGCAATAATGGACAGACAGACAAACAGGCAGACGGAGAAACAAGTGGAAAAAGTGGTAAATGAAAAACAGTTGTCAGCTCGAGCGCATTGCTGCGGTTAGTGCAGCAGCAGTCAGTGCGCTAAAGAAGTGAACTTGTCCAACGAGTTGCATGTCAACAACAAAGTCACTGGAAAAATGAGGAAAAATAGTAATGAAAAAAAAAAAATAATAATAAAAATGTGCGCTCATCGAAGTGTTGGCGACAGAGATGGTGGAAAGTATGCTTGGCGAGCGGTGAAAGGGGGGGAAATTAACTGTAGTGCGTGTATGTTAATATATGTATACGAGTATGTATGGCAAATAGGTCTATACATATACAGGCAAGATATGGAAATGTGCATTTATAATGCAATCTTTTTCACGCATTAACACAACAGCTTAGATTTTATTAAAATTTGTTTTATTATTATTTTTTTTTGTTTTTTTTAATTTTTTTTTTATTTTATTTTTTTTATTTCTTTACTCATATGCTTTATTCATTTTCATTTTATTTTTTAATGAATACCATTTTTCTCACCAACACTTCAACTTGTTTTACTTGAATTTGTTTTTGTTTTTTGTTTTTTTGTTTTGTAGCTCAAACAAGGCAGAGCTGCTGCTGTTGCTGCTGCTGGACTGACTGCCTGGTCGCGCCATATGGATTACAAGTTGCTGGAAAAGTTAAAATAAAACAACAACAACAACTAAAATGTAGCAATGCAACAGCGTCGCCGTATGAGGAATCTGGAATGAGTAAAAAAGAAAGCAAAAAACCGCGCATAAATTACAACAAAAACACCAACCACTAAAGCATCACACAAAAGGCAAAGAGCAAAAAAGGAAATAAATTTGTAAGCTGGAATTCGCAGTTCATACTACCAAATTGAGAGTAAACTATACAACAACAAAAATAATAATAACACAACAACAATAACAACAACGATAGCAACTGAATTGATTGAATTGCTGAGTCAGGTTATGCTGCTGCAATGGAATGTTGGTAGTTTGCGGCAGCAACAAATGTTGTTGCTATTGTTGTTGTTGCAGTTGTTGCTATAGTATCAATTCAACCACTATAGTGAAGTCTGCGCATGCGTGTTTCACATACGCGCTATTGACCGGAAAATCAACGTCAACTTTATTGACATGCGCAAGATTTAATGGTTGAGAACTACATGCACACACACGCACATACGCACATAATCGTACATATAAATATAATAAAATTCAGCTGTTTAAGAGCAGCCATATTCGAAATCACTTCAACTCGGTCCAAACCTAAGTTGACTTGGGAACCAGTGCTGTGCGTACGAAAGAAACATGTTAACCGGAACAAAAGTCGTCAGCATCAGCTACATAATATGCACATACCATTGTATATAACAGTAAAACGAAGATAACAAAATATTTTCAATAAATACAGAAACAATAAAAATCGGTAAAAAGTTGTTAAAATAAACAAAGTAAAACAAATAAATCGTCTGCCAACTGCCACCGCCTTCACTGCCTTCACCTCCTTCACTAGCAGTTTGCTTTGCTGCGTTGCTCGAAATGGAGGAAGATGTCTTAAATGCCTTACAAACACGTACGGCCTACTTACCTGGCGGCTATGATCGCACGGGCAAAATCATTATTGTTGTTAACATCATCAATGATTTACAATTGTGGAATCGCAGATGTTTGGAATTGTCGATTGCGTACTTAAAAAGTGCGTTGAGGTAAGTGAGTTGGTCATCTTTTTTTTTTTGCTATGATTTTTTTTTTTAGTTTTTACATGCTTATATTTATGTAATTTTTTTGAAAAGGTTCCCATAAAGGAAAAGAAATATATTTTAAATTTTATTTACTTTATTTTTTATTTTTTTACGTTATACTGAAAGTCTAATGAGTTCAATGGAAACAAAATTCAACGATAATAGAAAATAAATATTAATTTTTGTAGAATCGGATTTTTTTCTCATTCATGTGTGTATATAAGTGAGAAGTCTGTTTTGTTAGATGACACTACAACAGCAGCTTTAGGGCTGGTGGGCGTATTTACAATCAATACCGTATATTTATACGCTTTTTTTGTAGCGCCCTCTAGGATTTCACATGTTCATAATTAATTGGCACCGTAAATAAGGAGCAAGTGATGCAGCGCCATCTATTGTTTCACATGTTCATATTTACTTGCCACTGTAAATAAGGAGCGAATGATGTTTAAGCTACTTTCATTATGGCAACACTGTGTTCGACAGCTCTCTTTTTTGACCCAAAGAGATGACTTAGCGAGTGGTGGAAGGGACATTTCTGTAACCTGCTAACCTATTGACAGTGAAAATGGAACACTAGGAAGTGACGAACCCGATTCCCCATTCAATGACGATGGAGCAGATATTTCATTGCCCGACTGTGAAGAAGTTCGAATAGCAATTGCCCGCATGGAAAGCAAACAAAGCATGCACTTTGCGTCAACTTCTTTGCAGAGTATAGTATGTTGGGATGAAAGTAATGCCGACGATTGGAGCACTTAGTTCTCAATCCATAAAAAAGGGAGAGCTCACAGTCTGCTGCTTTCCACCATGCATCAGATATTGGAAAAAACCACCTCAGCCTCGACTTTACGTCCTTCAACAGCACGAAAAGAAAGATGCACCCTTTATGCCGCTGTATATAATATGAATTCGGTATTGCTACAACGCTTATACGGCTGTGTAAACTGACGTTAAGCAATAACAAAGGCTTTTCAGGAGCGGGAAGGAAATTCGTTTTAAATGAAGAGGTCTTTATTGGAACAAACGCCCATGCTGGAGCCTAACTATAAATATGGTCAGCGTACAATTTGAGATAATCTATTCTTAACGCTGGACTTAAATCAAAGACACACAATAAGCTTGATTACCAAAAAATATATATTATTTAAAAGCTCTCTATCTTATCGAGCTACCCTACTACAGGTCTACCCATTTTTGCAAACTTCGATTATTTTGAGATAAATTTCGACCACTTTTAGACATCGTTACGACATGATATTACGCGGCCGTGAAATTTCTCTCCCAATACCAAACCGTATTTGGTCCAAGTGGTATTTTTCAATTAAAGGCAAAAAAAAGTCGGTTATCATATGACCATAACCCTCTGAATTGACAGCGAGAGTCTTGCAGTTGTCGTTTTGAAAGAAAACAGGTCCAATCACACCTCCGGACCGAAGAGCGCACCAGACAATAAGTTTATTGGTTAATCTTAAATATTTTTGGGGTCTCAATTCATTTTTTTTACAAGGTTGTAAATCAAAGGTCTATTTTTTTTTTCAATTGAATATCTTCGACTTTCCTGCTTTTAGGTACGTGTTTGTGGCAGAATTCCTCTCAAATTTCTGTATTTCGGCGAATTGTGGGTCCAACCTAAAGAATAATAGCTTGTGAGATGAAATTATTTAATGGACTTCATTCATAAAAAAAAAAATGAAAAAAATTAAAGAATTTGTGAACTTTCTAGTGTTCTAAATGTTTATAAAAACATTATTTTATTTGATTAATTTGTTTGATTTAAATATGCAAAGCGCAAATACATAAATAAACTTTTCGTACAATACAAATGATGGAATTTTGAGTAATTCTGAGGAAAGTTAAGCACATGAATAGAGTTTAAAGGAAAGCAGCGTTAATGATGGGTTTTCTAGCAAGCTTAACGGTCAAAAAATATTTAGATAACAGTTATTAATTCTTTTAATATTTGCTTTTTTTTTGAAATGACTTGGCTATTTGTTCTTCTAAAGAAGATTAACAAATATTTATTCATGCTTCTCTACACATTTGTTAAAGAAATCAACAACATGAAGACGGTAATTAATATACCAGTAGTAGCAGGTAGAGAGACGTATAGGCGAGGAAAGCTAGGAAAATCAAATATAATAAACAGTAAATCAAATAATTTAATATAAAATGACCGAAAATAAAATCAAAAAATAATATATATATATAAATAAAGAAATAAAAGAGTGTTAAATAAAGTATAATAAAATGAAATAAAATATAACAAAAAATAAAATAAAATAAAATAAAATAAAATAAAATAAAATAAAATAAAATAAAATAAAATAAAATTATATTAAATTAAATTAAATGAAATTAAATTTAGTTAAATTTTTAGGAAAATAAAATAAAATGAAATAAAAAAATGAATTTAAAAAAAAATAAATAAAACGAAATAAAATAAATAATTAATATAAATAATATTAAATTAAATTAAAATAAAGTTAAAACAATGAAGTGAAATGAAAATGAAATTTAAAAACTTTAATTATACTAAAAAATAGTAAAATAAAATAATGATAAATAAGTGGAAATAAAATAAAGTAAAATAAAATAATATTAAGTACGACAAAATTAAACAAATTTTAATTAAACAAATTAAAATAATAAATAAAAACAACAAATAAATTCAAAACTTTTTATTAATTACTAAGCATTTCCCATTTATCTTTTTCTATCAGCGCCGCTACTTTGCAGCGTGGCGTCACCGTCATTGTCGATGCGCAGAAGAGTACAACACGCATTACGCGTACGCATGCGCGTATAATTTATAGCCTCTTCGATGATATCACAGTCAATTTATTTCTAGTCAGAGCGGAGGGTTTCTGGGAGAAACATGTGGAGACGTGTACCAACAAAACGCAAACGAAGGGTGAGGTAAGCGTTGATATTAACTTGGAGTGTGAGAACTAAAACAGAAGTGTTTTGACAATTAGAGAAAGTTGTTTTAAAATGTAATAAAATATTTAAATTATTTTACAAATAGTAAAATTATATTTAATATTTTTGGGCTCTAAACGTAATTTTACATTAACAGGAAACATTAATTGGATAAATATTTAAATTTTAAGTATTAAGCGCATTTATATAATTCAATTTTTGGTGTATTTTTAATTATATGTTTTTAATTTTTGAATTTTCTTTCACACACTTCAAACAGCCCATTGTGATTTCGAGGGCGCGCTTGATAAAATATTTCGACCTGTCACAATTGCCTGAAGAATTGGGTGGTGCCTTGTCATTCAACTATGATTTATGGCTGCAACAAAGGAAGGTGAGACAGTTGGTAGTTTTGCTTAAAATAACTATATATAAATATAGTTGTATTAGGTGGCATTTTTTATTTTTATTTAATTTCATTTTTTTTGAGAACTTTTGTGACTTTTTTATGTGGTAAGAGAAAATGAGATTAATTTTTTAAGTTTGGTTTTTTCTGAAATTGTAACTTTTTATGAGAAATTGTTGGCTTATAAAATATTGCAAACTTTTTTTAAAGCCATTTTACTTTACTGTTCGCTAAATAATTTATTTTATTTTATATTTCTCTTGCTTGATTTTATTTTATTTTATGTTCATTTTGATTTTTTATTATTATTATTTTTTAATTTAATTTAATTTAATTTCCTTGTCATATTTTTTAGCTTCATTTTTTTTTTATTTTACTCTATTTTATTTTTTTTTGTTTTATATTCTAGTCTTTTATTTTAGCTTAATTTATTTTATTTTTTATATTTAATCCAATTTTTTTACTTTTTTTAGATTTTCTATTTTTAATATAATTTAGTTTAATTTGTATTAATTTATTTTAATTTGTTATTTTATTTTTTCTTATTTTATATTATTTTATTTTAGTATATTTTGTTTTATTCTGTTTTTTTAAATTTATTTTATATTATTTAATTTAATGCAATTTTATTTTAAAATTTAAAATTTCTTTTTATTTTATTTGATATTATTTTATTTTAGCTTAACTTACTGTTAGTTTGTTATTGCTATTTTTTTGAAATTTTTTTATTATTATTTAATTGAATTTAATTTAATTTTCTTATAATATTTTTCCATCTGATTCTCTTTTATTTTATTGTATTCGATTTTATTTTGTTTTTATATTATTTTATAATAGTTTAATTTATTTATTTTTTTAATATATTTTTTGTTTTGTTTTATTTTATTTTATTTGATTTAATTTTCTTATTTTATCTTATTTTATAATATTTTATTTTATTTTGGTATATTTATTTTATTATTTTAATATTTATTTATTTATTTTCTTTTAGTCTGCTAATTTTGTATTTTATTCCGTTTATTTCGAGTTATTTTATTTTGTTTTTTGTTTTTTTTTTCTCACGCAGGCCATTGACGAGTTCCAAAAGACTTTCGATTCAACGCTCAATGGCATGGAGAATTTGCACGTGGTGCTGCTGAATAATAAGTCTTTGCGGCCAACGGAAGCGGATGCTGAGTTGAAGAAGTGTGCGCAGCTGCATACAAGTATACAGCAACAAATTGAGGTGGTCATAGAGTTGGGTAAGCTGATAAGAAGTAGGTTAAGCCGACTAGCAGTAATAGAAGAAGATTTAAGCGCAGAAGCAATAAGCCAAGAAAAGAAGTAAAAAAAGAAAAAAGCAAAAAATAAAAGAAAAAATTAAATAAATTTAAATTAAATTAGAAAATAGGCATTTTGAAAGCTTTTTCATATTGTTTTGAGCACACAGCATTGCTCAATTAAGACATAATAATAAACAAAAATTCAACTTAAATGTAACAAAAAGAGTACATATGTAGATATGTGGTTGTGTGCGTTTGAGTAATAAAAAATATGAGATAAATGATTATGCTGTAATTAAAAATTCAGTTAGAGAAAAACAAAAACGTAATTTATTAATGCTAATTCACGAATAGTTAAATAACTGCTTGGAGGGTCTTTGGCGGAGAACAAGTTTGTCGCTTAAGTCTTTTGTATCTTTGCCATTGGCTGAACACTGTTTGCTAGCGTTAATTTGACTTTAAATAAAGTAAATCTTTATTAATTAATAAAAAACCAGTTGTATATTGACTGCTGTATTCTTTTTTTAAGAAATGATATTATTCATTTTATGAATGAAATACAATAATTCGCTGCGAAAAATATGCAAATCAGGCAGGCATCTCAACTGGAATGAGATGAATGAATATTGCTATTTTGTAATCATCTCTGCATATTATTGTAAGACCACTCTACACTCCATGGACTTGTTCACAAATCTGCGCCCTAAACTCTTTTTTTGATGCTCATGTATGCAAGGTATTCGCAATGACGAAAGAAAAATAAAATATTGAAAGCCCTTAAGTTTGGGGCCGGTTAGTTGCTAAGAACTTCTTCTTTTTTTGTAGTAGGAAACTCCAACCAAAATGTTGTGACAAAAGAAAGTACAATATTCATTGTTGCATCAAGGAAATGTTCGAATTCTAGGATAGTGCTTGAGAATTCTGAAAGACAGCAGATATCTTTCATAGGAATTATTTTCTTTGAATGTCGAATCTATTTTCGATGTGTAGTTTTTCGATCTTGTAGTTTTTCGAGTTTATTTTATGCTGTCTCCCAAAGGCGGTTATGAAGTTTTACGTTGAGCCTTTATTTCATGTCAGAAATTCTCGGAGATCTTGGCACTTCTTGCTGAGGGACAACCGCAATTGAAAATATTATTTTTTTTTATAATTTTGGATATCTTTCGAACTGGGATGTATACAAAGACAACAGGTCGAGTCTCAAACTATGCTGCTCCGATTTGGTCGGCGGGGACTAGCCAGATGCCGTTGAAGAAGATGCAGGCATGCCACAATAACACCCTTAGGTCCGTGACAGAAAACCTCCTGAAATCTCCTAAGCATCTCATTCGCAGTGAAATATCTATGCTTTAAGTTAAGGAGCATCTACTGGACTGCTTCTGGTGGGGACCTTCCCACGGTCGAATTTTCTGTCAGGTATATCAGGAGGCGGCAGCGGTAGTCGAGTGGTTGGCATTGCATATTGACATTCGGAAAGGTCGGGTTCATATCCCGGTGCCACCAACACCCAAAAGTTATGGAAAATTCATTTAAATAAAATATGGAATTAATTTTTCTAATTACAGTCGCCCCTCGGCAGGGAATATCCACCCCTCCGAGTGTTTTTCGGACATGAAATAAAGGCTCCTCGTCAAAAAAGCATCAGCCATTCGGAGCCGGCTTAGTATAAACTGTAAGTCCCTCTATTAGTTAAAAAAAACATCGGTAGGCAAAATCACGAATTGGAGAAGGAGCTCAGCCGAAAACTCGCTTCAGCGGTTACAAAACGCCAATTATATATATATATATATATTATGAAAGGACTAGGCTACATCAACTTCATACAGCGTTATAGAAAAGAGCTGCTCTTCATTCTTCGTGAGCCCATCAATACCTTCATGAACTCTCTTACTAAGAATGACGTTCTGGGTATTCTATTGTTGAACAAGAGCTCAAGATGTTGGATCTTGTAGTCGACTTAATTCTTACTTATCTGTAATTGGGCCAGACAGACCCAACGTATACCTGCATGCGTTGAGACACCACATGACACTAACCACCTTTTTACATGCCTCCCAAAACCCACTCATCTAACCAACCCTTTTCCTCTCATCCGCACCGTCGTTTTCTGGACCTAACAATACATTTTTTAAAATATCTTTATACTCATTAATCAAAAGGTGCACTGCATTCTTTTATGAAAATTATGTGGCAAAGATCCAATTAAATTTTTCTGTTTCAATATTTTTGTTTTCATTACAACAACATTTTTATATAACCTACAATCAACAAGATTTCGATGCACTTGATTGCAAAATCATTCAATCGCTACCGTAATTCACCTTTCACCTGCAATTGAAGATAAAAGGAAAGCAAGCAAAAGAGATAAACACTTTAGAGAGGAAAATGCGATGTGAAGTGACTTTGGGCTTGAAGCGAACACGTAGAAAATTAAACGCCTCTTTAGCATAGAAATAAGACAAAAGAAAAATGTTTGAAAATAATATTTAAAAGCGCTTTAACACTGTTAACTACACTTCACGTCTCTTCCGCAGGCAATCGCGTTTTGAATCGACTATCTGAAGCATATGCGCCACCAAGACCTGTACCACCAAACGCCGGCTATTTGGGTCATGACAACATCGTCGCACAGAGGCAACTCATCAACGCCAACAACACAAACACCTCAACAGCGCAATCCTGTCACGATACACCGTCAAGTCTCACCTGCGTTACCAACCATACACCCGCCGTTACACGTTTGCCCCTACCGCCGGATCTTCAGTGTGCACGCGCACGCATCGAACTTCTACTGAATCAAATCGAACGCAAACAAACCGAAATACGCACTGCGTGGCTGGAACTCTTGCAGAGCATACGTGAAGCACGTGAACTGGCGCACTTGGAGGAGGGTGTCGCATTCGTGACGAATTGGATACTACAAACGGCCGAACAGATGCTGAGTCGTCAGTATAGCATCGGTGGTGACGTGCACACCTGTGAGAGTTTGCGTGCTGCACACGATGTACTCGAACTGGAATGTCGAGAGACGTATGGCTTCTATGCAGAGTTGCTATACAAAATCGATGCATTTGCTGGTGTGCGCGACTCGTATGCATTTAGGGATTTGATGTCACAACGTGATTTTATGCAATTCGTTTGTCGTTCATTTGCCACACGCCTGGAGCGTCGACGGAATGTGCTCATCACGTCGTTGCGGTTTTTTCGACTTGTCAGCGAATATTTCGATCGGACAACTGCGGTTTTCGAAACACTAGTCATGGGTAATAAAATAGCGGAGGAGAATTTCGTGGCAGCTGCGGAGAACCTGCAGCAATTGAAGGAGAGTCAACTGAGTTTGGGTGAGTGCGGGTGTAGGGATGCAGAAGAGGGTTATGTGAATTGAAAAAATTCTTTATATGTATGTATGTACCTTTGTAATATGAGTGCGTGAGGCTTGTGGTTTTTATGCGAAATAACTTAGTTGAAACTCAATACATGCAGTTTAACAGTGTAACCTTGCCAAGGGCAAGTGCTAAATACATTTAAATGGGGCAGGTCAATTTAAAAGAAGAATAGAAGCAGTACAGCTTGATCCAAGGCATTATATGTGAAACACAACTCCAATCAAATAAACTCCTCGCGAATATTTGTACATTTTGCTGCGCTTAAGGTAATTTTCGTACACTTTTGGGCACATATCGAACAGTTTCTCAGCCATAACTTGTCGAATGTGGGTTTACAAGTTCAAGATTTAAAGGGTTTTCAACCTAAGCATGACAGCCTCACAAAAGCAAGTCACACAGTATCAAAACGCACGGTCTCTGTGCCCAATCGAAATCGCCAAGCTGAGAGCTTATGCGGGAGGAAATTCGGTTTCAAAAAAAGGTCATATATGCTTGTGTTGTGTGGTATATGGCAACATCTTGTTGTAACCAAATATTGTCCAACTCGTGACCTTCAACTCCAGATAAAAAGTAGTCTTATATCATAGGACCATAACGCTCCGAATCGACAGTAACAGTTTCGCCTTTTTACACCTCTAGTTAAGTCAATAAGTTTGGCTTCACTTTAGCTCGTCGAGAAGTAGATACTTTCGGATCTTCGTCTACACTTTCACTTACAGTAACGATATTTGAGGTGAAATGTGCAAAACGATCATGTACAGGCCTTACATTATTTGAAACCGATTCAGTATTCAAATTTCTTTAAAATGTTACCAATTCCTTGTGTAGTTGGACGATTATGTGCATCTTTCTCTCCACTTAAAGCACGAAACAGGGCTACGTATGAGTCACCATCTTTGTTTTTGGTTTTAAACTTCTCAACACTTTGTACCTGACTTTTAACTAAAACAAAAAAGTGCTCGGTTTGACTGTTAAGTTTGACAGATGTCAAAATACAGTACTGTATTTTTGAAACCACGAAATGGATAACCCTGTGTTATGCGCCTGACTTTTAACTAAAACAAAAAAATGCTTGGTTTGACAGTTAAGGTTGACAGATATCAAAATCCAGTACTGCAATTTCGAAACCACGAAATGGATAACCCTTTGCTATGTGCCTGACTTTTAACTAAAACAAAAAAGTGCTTGAATTGACTGTTAAGTTTGACAGATGTCAAAATACAGTTCTATATTTTCGAAACCACGAAATGGATAACCCTCAGTTATGTGCCTGACTTTCAACAAAAACAAAACATGCTTGGTTTGACAGTTAAGTTTGACAGATGCCAAAAATACAGTTCTATATTTTTGAAACCACAAAATGGAAAACCCTATAAATGATAATTTTAGGTCTAGTGAAAGTAACCAATAATTTTTGCGTTAACCTGAAGACTTTTTATCATGGTTAGAACTATCTTCCTGCCTCTCTTATGGTAACCCTTGTTCCTATTGGCGAAAAACTGAGACAATCGAGTTTCACTGGCTTTTTTTTAAGACCAATTCTTCAACAACCAAATCATTTTTTTGGGACAGAAATGGGTCGTGTGAAATCTGAACTACAAGATAAATGCATAACAACCGCTCAAATGAGCTCTTGACAAGTCGCTATCGATGTGTGTGGTCTTGCGTTGTCCAGATGAAACGAGACTCCACTTTTCTTCAAAGCTATTACTGCCCCCAGACTGCCCATTTGCTAGCAGTACAGGCTCGAATTTAGAGAGAACTAGTCGCCCAAAACTGGGCTATTCTAGGCGATTTCTACCTTCAGACTGCGAAATTTCTGACGCTGCAGGTCCGAATTAAGAGTTTGGCCGTAAGGAAGCAGGATGATTCCTTGCCAATACCACCAAACACATAACGAAAGGCCTCAAACCGAGATCGTGGCGAGTGCCGTTCTGCCTTTCGACGTTGTTATAAGTGATTCACATTTCTTCAGCAGTCACCATATATTTCAGAAATGTGTCGTTTTGGTTACGATTCAGTTAGAAATTCGTTCAATTCGTTAACTCATGTGACACCCATTCTTCCAGCTCCTTTGTGAATTCATTCAAGTGGCACCAAACTATTCTACAGTGAGCGTTTGATGATCACACTCGACAATTTTCATTATTTTATAGACATTTTCGACAATTGGCTTTCCACATCGTGGGGCGTCTTTTACATCAAAATTTAAAAAAAATTCCAAAGCGGTTTCTATGCTCCCAAAGCATATTGTTGAGCTCATCCGCACTTAGGAAAAATGGAAAGTGAATAAAAAGTAGAAAAAAATACGACAAACCCAAAACACTTTGGGAAAAACTATTTTTATTTATTCTCACGATGAACCGCCTTAACTCACAGATTCAAACCACCCAAAATTAGGTCAAATCGTTGGTGGCGAAAATTTTGCCCATTTCAAAAACCTGCTATTTTCTTGCAAAATCTTTGTTTAACGATCAAAATAAATTCTTTTTATGTTACCAAATTCATGTATGTATGTACGTATGTAGTACTTCTTGCTCACAAAAATTTCACTAAAAATATTTATGTTTTTTTTTCTCTCCACATTCTCTGCCGGCTCCTTTTCCGCTCAACACACAATTTCAACGCCAATTAATCGCCCAATTGTGTTTGGACATAAATGAATTTGCAAAAACTACAAAAAAACCACCACAACACAAATACACATTACAAAATCCACTTACAGCGAACCTGGAACGCGAACTCGTTAAGGAGGGCGAAAAACTTAGTGATGTGCTGGCGATGCCAGTTAAAGATGCGCTTGGCCGTGACCTACACATCGACTATAGCGATGATATTTGCAATGTACGCGATATTTTGGACACGACATTGGCACGGCGTAATATTTTCAGTGACAGCGTTGAACTGCAGAAACTCACCTTGGAACAAGTGACACACATTTATACATATGAAAAAGATGCGCGTATGGCCATTAAATGGATGGAGGATTTGTACAATGTCATGATCAAGTGCCATTCGCATGTCGGTTGTAATATACACGAGATACAGGTGCAGAAGGATGAATTGCAGATATTTCAAGAAACTGGAAAGGTGAGTATCGATAGCGTGAATGCATTTGTATTTATATGTATCTTTATATATATATATGTTTGTATGTATGTATGTATGTGTGTATGTATATATGTAGTGTAGTGAGTGAAAAACTCATTCATCCACTTGCTCATTGAGGGCATATGGCGGCTGTAGGTAAGGCAAGCGAGTGTGCGTGTGGCTCACTCAGCAGCCGGTGGGCAAAGGCTCTGTGGCAAGTGGCCGTTGGAGCTGGGTGTAGCCCTGGACTACGACAGCTTTTGTTTTATTCAGACGCGGTGTTGAAGCTTGACTTTTATTGTTGTTTTTGTTATTTTATTTTTTATATTTTTTTTGATTTGTTGCTGCATTTAGGTGTTGTTAATGGTCAGCTGAATGCACAGCGATTTATCGCACTTTGTAATCATGGATGGATGATGCAAAACCTCAGTTGTTTGTTTGGATGTTTGGACGTATGTGTGTATGTAATTGCATTGCAATTTTTAGTCTAATTTTAGTTGTGTTCTTTCATTGTTGTTGTTTTTTGTTTCTGTTATTGTTATGGTCAGTGAATTAAAGCGGTCCAATTTCCGTTCATCACCGGTTTCTCTGCCGCAATTTTTGTTTGCCTTTTTTTGAAACTTTGTGCGGTTTTGTTGTATTTTATTCATGATTTTGTGTCCCTCCTGTTGTCTGGCGGCATGTAGAACCTGTTTACCGTAATTCTTGTTCTACACTCATGGAATTAATGCGGTGAATAGTGTAATTTAGCGCAACAAAATAATTTGCACATTGCATTATGTACGTTCTGGAGTGCTTGTGAGTTGCTTTACTGTGGTCGCGGAGTTAAGTTGCTTTTTTTTTTTTTGTTTGCCAAAGGGGAAGTTTTGTTGTCACATATAGGCGATGGCAAGCATTGGTGTGTGACCGTTAGATCGCTACGTTAACTGCACACCTGTTACAGTTGTTTTTAGCACAGAGAATTATCTAATAGTAATTGGCCGGACTATGGGTGGAGAGCACAAAATTTATGGCAACCTCATTGATTTAATAGTAGTTGGGACTCTGTAGGGTTTGAAAATCTGTCAGTTGTTTTCAGCAGGGCTATCATCTTAAGTGCCACGAGGTTATTCCAAAAACATGTTTTTTTTAAACAAATTTTATTAAAAAAAAATTTTTAAAACAAAGTTTTTTTTTTTAGATAAGCAGGTGTACAAAAATAATAATTGGAACAATTTTTTTTTTGGCTATGGCCGGGACTACAAAGAAATATTAAAAAAAATGACTGACTTTTAACATTTTTCTTAATTTTAATTGTTTATATAAATTTTTAAAACAACCATGAACAATTTTTAGTTGCTGTACCGACCATAGAGAAATATTTTAGAAGTAAAATGCCGTTTAATTCATGTTGATAAGTTCAATAGGTTCTGAATAAGAGTGTCAGCCTGTGGAAAAAACGTGTTTTCGAGAAAAAGGCGATCAAAGTACTCGAGCGGCCGAATTAACCGCTTGGCGTGCACCGCGCTCCCGTTTTCTATACTTAGTTCTTGGTCTTGTGGAACTTCGAGACTAATTCTATATTATTTCTGTGAGAATTTTTAATTTACAGGAAAAAGACTTATATTTTCTAAAATTTGTTTAAAGGATCTTGACCTTAAGTAAATTTCCTAAATAAGCCTGATAAACTTAAATTATCTTCAATTACCCAAGGATAGACCAATTCAGTAAAGTAAAGGTTGAGTTGAGTTGATGTGGCAGCTGGTCGCCACCAGCACACTTAGGCCAATAGGCCCATTGTGATACTGCTGAAGCTCCTGTCTTCATCTTCTCAGATGATCGAACCATTTCGTGTGCGTTATAAAGACAATGAGATTTGTTTGTTGTTGTTGTTCAAAGCACAAAAATATTCCCCAAAGTATTTTTTTGGAAATGTTACGGGAGTAACAGTCCTTGGCCGGTAAAAAACCGGGTCGTTCCGGTATAAAGACCCCACTGCCGGGTGAAAAATTAGATTTTAATCGCCTTTTACGATAAGCATGTCTTACCGCGGGTAAATTCTTGAACTCCTAAAACGCAGGGGGTGGTTCTCGATAGTCTCTGCCTCTGCTTCGTCCCTGCAGCTGCGGCAGAAATCTCAAGAGTAATAACCCATTATTTAACCGAGAAGCTATATTAAAAAGTGTCCTGTTGTTATAGCCGTCGTTATGCTAACGGAGAACTGGTCCAGAAGGATAAGATGTTCTTATTTTTTCGCCTCAAACTTCGGTTACGGCTGCTTGGTCACATTACACTGCATTGCAACTCGTTCAACCATCTTGTGCCAGCTTCCCTAGTAAGGCCAGTTTAAGCATGTACTGTGCCATGGATAGAGGTAACCCCAGCATCGTGCGCATGTTTTATCTCGGGTAGAAGAATGTCTTCCCTTGCCACTTCGTCTGTCATACAAATGCCTGGGGTATCCTTATGTCCAGGTACCCAGACAACGGCAGTAAAGGTTATTAAAATCACTTTTCCCAGGAAAGGCAGTTTCAGTAACTTCAAACTTCTTAAAATCTATCACTCTATTGACATGGAAATCGCCGTAAAAATTCGAATGACTTTCTGTAATCCCGTTCTCATCTACATCTGTCGAGGGAAACTTATGCGCCGGTAGCTTCTCTGGAGATTACATTGAAATATTCTCCTCGCGATGACTTCATTTGGATTTCTGAAGATGGTACCAATCCAAATCCATTTTCTTCTCTTCATTTCAGTGTTATTGTCAACGATTTTTGGTAAATTTTCGTTTGGAATGATATTCAGCGGGAAAATACGGCCAACGATGTGCAGGTTTTTGTTTTAGACCAACAGTTACATCGTTTTCAGCGTTTAAAATAAGTTTGTTCCGAATATTCTGGTTTATGGAAGGTTTTCTTGTTGGATTCTTAATATACGCTGGCCATAGCCTCCGTAATTGCATTACGTTTTCACTTAACTTTTGAGACGACTGCTCTAGTTTCATCATAATCTACGACCAATTGCATTCTAGGAAAGTTAATAAATTTTCCATCGTTGGTTTTTTTAATGCATAAACTGAGCTGTACGTGTACGCTGAAATTCGATTATTTTCATTGAAAGATTAACTTTAGCGCTATTCTACTGTTCTAGAATTTGAAATTTACGGTTAATCTTTTATTGATATTTTAAATAAATTAAATTAATCATGTGTATAATATATGATATTTTCTCCAAACTTGAAAATGTGCTAAAGTTGTAGCTATTCCTTATTATCTAAAATAGGAAAATTATTGAAAAAATTCCTATTACAAAAACTTATAACAGATGCAGCCAAAAACAAAATTTTCAAAGGCACACAATTTGGTTTTCGCAACTTTTATTCAAAAAATCACGCATTAACTTCATTGAGTAACTTTGTATGCTCTAATCGCCGCTGGGCTGTACCGGCTGAGGCTGGTTGAAATACATAGATGATAATGCCTTTAAAGTGAGTGTGGACAGTGCCTAACGAATTGACATCGCCGTTTCAGTGACAGTTGTTCTTGTTTTCGTATTATTCACGCTCGAAAATGTCCGTTCATGTGCCTAATTCTCGCGGGAAGTTTTACTTTTCTGTTACAATTACAAAAAATGCAGCTGAAACGCATCGAATGCTCTCAGAAACTTACGGTGATGCTGCTCAGAGTGAAAGAACGTGTCGGGAGTGGTTTCAACGTTTTAAAAATGGTGATTTCGATGTCGAAGACAAACATGGTGGTGGAAGGGAAAAATCCTTCAAATATGAACAACTAGAAGCATTGCTTGATGAAGATTCGTGCCAAACCCAGGAACATCTTGCCGAATCGTTGGGAGTGAGTCAGCAAGCCATTTTAAAACGTCTCAAGGCCCTGGGAATGATTCAGAAAGAAGGAAACTGGGTGCCGTACGAGTTGAAACCGAGGGACATCGAGCAAAAGTGGTCAAAAAGTGCCTGGAAATGCTGATATGGGAAGTCTTGCCCCACCCGCCGTATTCTCCAGATGTCGCCCCTTCTGACATCCACCTATTCCGTTCGATGGCACACGGCCTGGCAGATCAACATTTTTAATCCTTCGAAGAATTGGCTAAATGGATTACTTCATAGATAGCGTCAAAAGAGGACTCCTGATATATGTTCGTATTTCGAAGGTTTCTAAAATAATAGATATTCAAAAATTTATTTACAAAAACAATATTTGATATTAATTTGAAAAAAAAACCTTATTTTTCGATTCTTACTATTTTATTTATGGTTTTTACATATGTATGTTTAATTGAAGTCTATATACATCGGACCACTATTGTATTTTTAATTTTTTTTTTCTTCTGTTCGTTTAATGATGAACCTCAATAAAATAACTTGCTAATTAATGGTAAAAACTGAAATAAAATAATTTCATATTAAAAACAAAAGTTTATGAAAGCCCAACAGTCTGCAACAGTCGATCAAATGTAAGAATAGTCTTCTAATATGTGTCATTTCGGGGGGAGAAGTCTCAAAAAATGCGGAATTCGACTCGATGGCGCAAAGCGAAAGAAATTTTTATGTCGAATTGTATATATATAAATATTTGTAAGCACATGTAAATATATATATATATATATATATATATATATATATATATATATATATATATATCCTGAGGCATTTTTATTTGGCTTCCGTGTCAGATAAGCACTGAATGTTGCACCTGCCACAGAATAATTGCATTTGGTCGCGTGCCATTGAATTTTTATGCGGCCAACACCTGCGCCAAAGCCTGATGACTCGATTTAAATAGTTACCCACATACATACGTATAATATGTTTGCTTGTAGGTAATTATGCATATATTTGCATTTTCTTGCAATTATCATTAATTTCTTCAACCTGAAAAAAAAGGAATAATTTAAATATTCAATAACTGTTAATCACACAAACAAACAAACATACTTTTGTACATAGATTCACCATTCCAACCATTTCAACCATTCCAGAGTATCTACAACTACGGCTGTCAGCTGTTGGAAGCTTCACAAGCGCTACGAATTTCCTGTCGCCTCGACGCCGACTCCATACCGCAAGGCATGTTGCAGCAATTACAATACACATGGCACCGACTACAGGCCATAAGTCAGGAGCACATGACACGCTTACGCGTCTCAGCCGTTTTCCATCGCAGCGTCGAGGAGTATAGCCAACAACTGCAAGAGTTGCGCTTATCAGTGCGCAATCTAAAGCAGACGCCGAATAGCAGCAGCGGCATTAGCAGTGAATCGGACACACGCGCATCGCCGCCAATCATCATCAGTGGACGAGATGTGGTTGCCGAAACTGATGCTGTTGATGTTGATGTGGATGTGGTGGATGTGGATGTGGACGAGGGACGGCGTCATAGGGTGGGTGGGTATGTGGACAAATCGACTACGACGACGATGTCGGCAAATGGTCCGGCAGCATTACTACGCGATCAGCTGCGTAAACATTTGGTTGTACGCGAACAGCTGCTGCTCGAAGTGGGTCGCATGATGCGGTTGGGTAGGCTGTTGAAAACCCGTTTGAAAGAACCATTTGTTTTGGATGCCGTTACGGGTATGAGGTGCGTATGGCAAGAGTTTGATAAATCTTTTTCGTTTTTATGCCTAAAACATTTGGGTTTGTCACGTTGTTTGGTGTCGTCAGAGAAGTGGTGTGGCCTCATTGCGTGCGTAGTGAGATTTTGAAAAACAAATAACGTTTCTTTGAAGCTTTGAATGATTTAGGGACTGAGATTTCAAACTTTTCTAAAAATTATATATAAATACGTGGAAAATGGTAAAAATTAAACGCTTCTTATCTCAAGGGCGTAATCGGCCATTTCATGCTACGCTCTTTAACGTATAACTCAGCACACAATTTTCAACACAAACATTTTTATTTGAAAACTCGTTTCAGTTTTCAGCAAGAGGTAAAAATACACCGTAAATATGTATACAATTCAAATTAAAAGTAGTTAAATATACGTGTATGAGCAGCCGCAAAGCCGTCGCACGTTCATGCCACCCACGGCGCGTGCTAAAGACAATTGGCCGTCGGTCATGTTGGACTCAACTTTTTTATTTCTTGCTTTTGAAGCGTGCTCACACTGCTACTGTCGGCGTGTTGGTCATGTTAAGCGTATAATTTTAACATAATTAATTTAATTTTTTCACATTGTTGGATATATGTACAAATGAAAGTAAAAAAAATAAATAAACTTAATAAAATAAAAATTAAAATAAAATGATATAACAAAATAAAATAAAAAATTAAAAATTAAAATAAAAATAAATTTAATTCAAGTAAAATAGAAAAACATTTAAATTAATTTAAAAAATAAATTTTAATTGAAATAAAATAAATAAACTAAAATAATAAAAAAAAAATGAAATAAATAAAATAAAACAAAATGAAATTAAGCAAAATTAAAGAAAGTAAAATAAATTAAAAAAATTAAATAAATTTATTTAAAACATAAAAAGAAAAAAGAAAAGAAAATAAATTAATAAAAAAATAAAATAAAGTAAAATAATAATAAATAAAAAATAAAATAAAACAACTTAAGTAACATAACATAATTTAAACCAAAATAAAACAAATAAAATGAGATAAAATTAAATAAAACTAATTCAAGTAAATAAGAAAAAAATATAAAATAAAATTTAATTCAAATAAAATAAATAAACTAAAATAAAATAAAATGAATTGAAATAAAAAAAATAAAATAAAGTTAAACAAAATTAAATAAAGTAAAATAAAATGAAATAAAGCAAAATAATTAAAAAAAAAAAATAAAATAAAACAACAAATTTTATAATACCTAAAAAGAAATAAATATAATTAAATTAAATTAAACAAATAAAAATAAAATGAAATATATTGAATTAAAATAAGTTAAATTAAATTAAATATGTTTGAGTAAAATGAAATAAAAATATGTTAAAATAAAGTAAAATAAATTAAAAAATAAAATCAACAATATTATTATAAAATATATTATTAATCGACGAAGAACTTTAATCTTGGTTCCAGTGAATAAAAAAAATAAAAAATAAAAGTTCTACATAAGTAGATACTTTTTATTACTATTAAATTTTGTTAAACCAACACCACCGCTTATCTTTTTTGTTGAGTGAACTTAAAAAAAATTGTGTTTAAAAATTCAGTAAAATTTCGATTATTATCGCTGTGATCACCTTTGGACGCCACTCTGACCTCCTAAGCGACATTTTTATTGCCCCAAAACATACCTTCACCATCATTTACACATATAAATATGTGTGCATGCATGTAAGGAATATTTATATGTATGCATTTGTAGATGTAAAGCTGCTTGTGCTCAATGTAAGTCTACATCGTGTCTGCTTCCGCGTGTTCTACCCACACACATATGTTTGTATGTATGTGAATAACATTTACATATTTTTTTTCATTTCTTTCCTCTACTTCCTATTCTTGTCATAACTTTTAGTTTTTTTTCGAGTTCCAGAAAGAACTCCACGTTCCATGGCACGCAAATGAATTAATTATGACGATATGTGTTGCATAACTTTTCAAAGAGTCATGTTCAGGCAGTAAAAATCAAATTTGAAAAGTATGTAGAGTGCACTAGTTGGAAAAGTTTACTCAAATCAATAAGACTTACATACATAGAAAAAATTTCCTACTGGGTATAAGAGCAAGTATTGCCTTTGACATGCGGAAAATGATTTTCTAACATTTTTCTTCTCCCACTTCTTCTAGTAATAATAATTTGTATTTATAATATTCTGTTAGCTTTTTTTGTTGTTGGTGGGCTGTCTTAATAAAATATTCAAACAACATTTAGCTTTAATTTGCGTTTATTGCACTTTTAAAATGAGTTTTCAACCAACGCTTAGAATGTAAATAGATACCTAGGGTGTTGGCATTCTAAGTGCAGCCAGTCTGTCTGTGGGTTGAGGGTTATTGACTACCTTTCTACCTTTCTGTTGATTATAACGAAATTCTGCTACGTGTACTGTTAACGTAATTAATTAATTCTTACGTGATATGAAGCCTTGTATATACTAGTACACACATTTCTTTTGATTGGTGTGAGAATGATTTCAAACTTTGCTATTTATGTGCCATTAATACTTGGTAATATGTTAATTAGTGGGCGATAAAGAGCTTCTCTGTAGAAATAAATAAAAATAAAATAAAACATAATAATATAATATAAAATAAAGTAAATTAAGTAAAAAGAATAAAATAAAATGAAATGAAATAAATTAAAAAAAAATATAATATAATATAATTAAAAATTAATAAAATTAAATTACACTAAGTTTAATAAAATGAAATAATTAAAAATTGAGTAAAATAATACAAAAAAAAATAAAATAAAATATAATAAAATAAAATAAAATAAAATAAAATAAAATAAAATAAAATAAAATAAAATAAAATAAAATAAAATAAAATAAAATAAAATAAAATAAAATAAAATAAATCAAAACCTACTGATTGAAGGCTTTAAATAATTAACGTAATTTTATAGCAGTAATTATGTAAAATAAACAAAATCTAATAAAGTAAGATATAATTTATTAAAATAAAATGAATTGAAATATAATAATAAGACAAATTAAATAATAATAAAAAATGGAGTAAAGTAATATAGAAAAATATTAAAAGTAAAAATGAAGTGAAATGACATAAGTGAAAACAAAATAAACTAAACAGAATTGCTAGGAATTTAGACAAAACATCCTCACCTGGGATAGGTCCGAGTGAATTTCCCTGCACTAGAAAATTCAACCAGCTATTTGACTGTTTATGAATCGAAAAACCTGGATCCAAATCCATCAGGTTTCGATAGACGGCCGACAATTTTATGAAAAGATAACGCTACTAACAGAAGGTACCAAGCATACTCATGTAGGACAAAGAGGAGATCTAGTGACCGATGCTTAGAATAAACTGAGTTTATGGAAGGAACACTTCTCGATCGTACGCTGAATGACGGTGACAGCGCGAAGCCGGATATATTGAACCCGAACTCCTTATCGATGATGATGATGGAAAGGACATTCCCTTACCCGACTAAAATGGAGATGGAGAATAAAAATTGCCTCTATCAAAACAGGTGGCTTTTCAACTGTATTCAAATATATCGGCGAAGAAGTGACAAGGTACATGCATCAGCTTGCAGAATATGGTTAAACGAAGGTATGCCAGACAACTGCTTGCCCCTTTTAAACAGCTCATCTGAATCCCCTTTTCCTCTAGTGCTAATCCGCCGTCAAAACAGCTCGCTCCTCACGTTAGATAACATCGGTGATTTAGACTGAATTTTCGAGAGAAAATAAATAAATTTAAATTTTCCCTTTCAGTTTCTTAGTTGGACAATAGAATTTTAAGCAATCACAGGAATTTCACACATATTTACTATTTGCTCTATATATTGGGAGGAAAACCGCAATTAGATAACAACTCAATAGATAAAATGCGTCAGTACTAATATTCCGCGTTGATCTCACTTGGCTGTGGTTTAATGCAGCTGTTGGCAAAAGCACGAAAAAAGCAAGAAATTAAATAAAAATAAAAACTAAAACATTGCCGGGGCTAAGTAAATATGTTTATTATGCACAAATATTTATTTTAGTGACTTTTGTAGATTCAAGGCGCAACCGGAAAAACGCACACAAGAAAATTGCTTTCACTCAACAAGAAACCTTTTGCTTTTACTTTAGAAAAAAAAAATAAATAAAAACAAATAAATATAAAAAAATTTAGAAAAAAATATAAAAAAAATAAAATTTATAATGAAAAATTAAAATAAAAGAAATAAAAATAAAAATCACCACCAAACAATAAAATAAAAGAAATAAAAATATAAACCAAAACCCAACAATAAAATAAAATGGATAAAAATAAATACCAAAACTAAAATTTAAGGCATAGAATATAAAAATAAAACCACAAAATAAATTTTGAAATAAAAATAAAAATAAAATACAGACACACAAGAAACGTCACATAATTTTAGCCATCCACGCGTCGCATAGCGGCCAGAAAAATTCAAAAAATAAATAACAACAACAACATCAAGATAAACGCCAGCCGCCCGGAATACTCGTTTAATAATATATATTTTTTGAAGAATTTAGAGCTCGTAGAGGAGCAGAACAGTTTGATAGACAGACACAATAGGCAAGTTAGTATATTTTAGTGCGCGATCCAGCGTGGTTCTCGTTTTCTTAATCACTTATTTCGGTGGACTAAATATTCGTACGCGATTCGTGCTGTGTTCGGTGGCAGTGGAACATTTTTTAATTCAAAAAAAACAAAACGTGGTATTAGGAAAAGTTGATTACATTATCGGTTACCGTCATTGGAGTGAGTTGTGGTGGGCAAAATTATTGCGCAGATATTTCGAATATTTATAATAAAAATAATAAAAATCAAAATTTGTCACACCAAGCGACGGTACACAAGCGGCGAACGGTGAAAAAGTCTCAAACAACATAATAAATCATTCGAATATATTTTGATTAAAAATAGAATCGTTTTTATGCTTTTAAAAAACTGCTCAATTGTCAGTTAATTAATGCATAATTAGCGAGTGATTTTTTGCGGAGATTTTCTGTGTTAGAAGAGCCAAGTTGAGCGCGTTTCGAGCACATTTACGAAAATTAACAGTTAATCGATTTTAACGACTTTTGGCATATGAACGAAAATTGAACAATAAAATTTATTGAAAAAAAAAAAAAATTAGTTTGCAAAAAATTTTCAAATTAAAAAAAAAAAATTTTCAAATTTAAAAAAAATATTCGAAAATTTAATCAAAAAGTTTTATTTAAAAAGAAAGAAATAAATTTAAAAAATAAAGAAATAGTAACCGAAAATGTTCTCCCGATTTCGTAATTTATTCGCGAAAGCCAAAAGCGAAAACTCGCCCGAACCGGAGGTGGAGCCGGAAACGGTAAACGCAACGAAAAATGGTCATGCTCAAACGAACGGCGGTAACGAGCAACCGAAATTAGAAAACGAAAACAAAGCGCAAGTGAATACCGTTAATATGGCCGAGGAGGGAAACACTCTAAAAAAAGAAGAAGAAGAAAACGAACGGTATATCGATTCGGCCGCGAAAGTAGAGCGCTCGGAAATTACTCAGCAAAATGTGCACCCAAGTAATGGCCAATTGACACAAGCCTTAAGTACCGTAATAGTTGAAAATGCGTTGACAACAACGGAAATCAATTCGACTGCGTGTGACAACAAAAATGAAGTGGGAGAAGAATCTATAAATACGACGATAAAAAATGAAAAGGCAAGCGGGGAAGATTTTAAAGCAACTTATAGCGTAGGAGTAGGCGAAGTTGACAACAAAGGGCAGGAGAGAGTTGAAGAAAATGCGCCAAACACTAACGGTAGCGAAGTGGTAGTAGAGCTTGTCAAAGTTGACACGGCGCATATTGAGGTCAACACACAATCAGCTGAAGAAGTTGTTGAGAAGATAAATGGAAATGAAAATGAAAATAATTTAAATGAAAATGAAAGTGCTGAGGTCTTGCCGCTGTTGAGGGAAGTTGCACAAAATGAAACAGAAGTAGAAAATATAGTCTCCCCAAACACACTAAATAACAACATTAATAAGTCCACTGAAGCTGTAGCGACACCAGCAAATAAAATTGAAATTGAAAATTCTCTAGAACAAATCATAGAATCAACAACCTTAGCAAATGTTAATGAAGTCTCTCAAATTCCTTCTAGCAGCATTACAGTTGATGAATTAGCAACGGATACTTCTTCAAGTCCTGCGGCCGATAGGCTAACACAATCTTCCTCCAGTCCAGCTGGTACGGTCGACAGTTCTAGCACCGCTGATTCCAATACGATTGTCATCAAACCGACAGGTAATAATAATATTGCCTGCGCGGCGATCTCGAATAAGTTGCAAGAAATTGCTGAGGTCGCTGAAACTTTGGACGCGGCGATACGTGATGTCCAACAAGATGCGGAGGCCTTGGAGGTGCAGGTGCCCAGCACGGCGGAGAAGAAGCGGGAGGCTATGCGGAGTATTAGTAGTGAGGTGAGTTCGATATAGTAGATGTAAATTTTAAGTGATGTAAAACATGTGGAAAATCTTGCAGAGCAGCTTTAGAGTCTTTACATTACTCAATGTGAGGTTCAATTGATCTTTATTTTACTGGATATTTAATATGTAGAAGACGATAAGGGGACGGGATAGACAATGCAGATTACCTGAACGAATTCCCTGAGAGCAGTTGAACGGGACAGACGACAATCCGTTCGTCCAATAAATATTAATGAGTTTGATGTTTTGGGTTAAAGAGGGGGAGAGAGAATTTTGATATAATCTTCAGAGAGAGAGAGAGAGAGAGAGAGAGATTGAGAGATATTTACCTATTTTCTTGCTCCTCCGTACTCCGTACAAATCGGATGCATCGCTGCCGGGATTGAGTACTGTAGACAGTTAACTTAGATACTTTTCTTTCCTGACAGCGCTAGATCTCTTTTAGTAACATCTACAGCACTGGTTTTTCATTGACTCATACCGAGTATGTTCTTACTTTTCTTACTCTTAAGCGGTTTTATGCTTTATATGAAACATAAGCCCCTTCGTAATATTCCATCTTGAGTTAGCCTCAACCTCAAACTAAAGGCGAAGGAACTTGCTAGACAAGGTACGCCTTTTTGTCACTTGGCAAACTGCTTCTGTAGGAATTTGGATATAAACAAGCTGCGACAAGGTGAAATAATGCTAAAACCTGCGACACATCTGGCCAAAATGGTATAAGAAGAGATCATGAGTTGTGTACTAATAAATAGAGGGGACATGTCCAATGTAATAGAAGTTCTATGAGGCAACTGCCTGATAAAATGACACGTGGAAGGACTAGGGGCTGTAGAAGTTGCTTCAAAAGCTACAAAGATGGTGAGAAGTGGGAAACGACCACTTATCTCTTATGTGACTGTACTGCTTTGAGCAGCGCTGGGTTTTGGTGTTTTGACACCCTATTGCTGGATGGTCTATCGAATGTCATGAATCTAATGAGGTCTCAAGGCTTGATCATAAAACCTGGTAATCAAGTCTTTATGGCAACGCAATGGGTCTTAGTTAGACCTAAGTGAAATTGATACGATAGATCGTAAGCCACCACAACCCAACCTCTCGAGTTAGCCTCAATCTGCAACCAGTACCTCCAGGTTAATAACCTACAAAATCGATTCAAATAGGAACCTGCACAATAATACTTAAAAATAACGTTCCGAATTCATACCAGAGATTGAAAGTTAAAGAATTTAGAAATCGCTTTAATAAAGTTGCAATCTATTCTATATCCTCTTAACTCGTTGAGTATCCAAGGAGTAATGCCCACTATGAAATACAACCGACGTAGAAAACTGTAATCTGCTCAGTCTGCGAATTCGTTCTGGGGATCGTTCAGGTAACGAATCAACAAATTAGTTCAAAGTTTCCTAAGTAAATCCATGAGGCATTCTTTTCTATAGAAGCAAGACAGTTCACGTACCAAATGCTAATTTTATATCTTTAATCACTTGATATCCTATGCAGGCTCCTACGTAGAGCCTCTTTCTTATAATGCACCATTTTTGTTCTGTTCGTTTTGTAGTTGTAAGTACCCAGTTAGAAGCTAGCAAAGCTACACGGGGACATGTTGGTCATGGAAAACGTGCTGTTTCGAGAGTTTCGGATCAAAAGAAAAGGAATGTTGGATGAGTGAGTTTTGAGGGAGTTGGTTGGTCTCGTCCGGCAGCTCACTACATGCACATATTCTGGGTATGTCGGGGACGAGTCTAGATATGTGGATTAGGTTAAAGTCGCTGATCTTGAAAGCACATAAGCAATTAATAAGTCAGTCAATTAAGACAGCTACAATTGTCTGGATCTTAGTTGAGCCAAAAGTATTCGGGTCCCACAGTGGGGGTGGTATCGTTCCGAGACGCCATTTACTGGAAGACCTTTAAGAAGGGTTTAGAGTGACTCTATATGTGTCTTTGAATACTGTCGGCAACATGTAGCATCCAGCAGATTTGTTAGGTATAAAGTGATCCCTACGATAGCACCACAGTTGATACTGAATGCAAGACAATGCATGCTCTTTGACAGGGAGCACATTGACTACGCCATATGAATGGTACACAGGCGATATCAGCAGACGAAATTTTCACAGAAACGTAGGTTATTCCTGGCATTCAGAGTGGTGTTGCGTTTCGAAGATTAGTGAAAATTCTGGTCATTTATAAGTCCCAACAACTTTGGATTGCTAATATTCGATTCTGACATTCAGACTAAACTGACATCACTTAGGCCAGCTTTGAAAAAATTCGCTGGTGAGAGTTATAAATATCAGGCTATGAAGAAGTGGGAAAGGTTGAAGCAATAGCAGCTGGCCGGACCGAAAAATTGTGCAGTCAGCGACATGTGAGGTCGAGGATGTTGCCTCTCGTTGCAGAATTAGTGGGAAGAAGACCCCATTCTCCAGAAATATTTTACTAATTCGTTTAAGCTTGGAGTTTTTGCGAGTCACTCCGCACCAGACCGACTGCGTGGAATTTTGGTTTAAATACTAAATCTAAGTTCATCTTTATTTTCCTAATTTATTAATATATTTATATCATTCGAGTATACTAAATACCTTTACTGTCTCCCCTTTAGGACTGGCACTCACGTTCCACGGAGGACGACTCCTTCGTTACTGCATCCGAGGGCAATTTCACGCCCCACTCACACTCCTCATCATACCAAACAGCTTCCGGACGTACCTCCTCCTACATTAGTTCCGTGAAGAGCTCTTTCGATGTGAGCGAGGCTGATGACTCCACCTTTGCCTCCACATATGATATACCCGTTGACCTTAATATGTCCTATGATGGTTCCGAGCATAGTTTTGCCTCAGCCCAACAACAACAACCAGAAGCCACAACCTCACCACATGAACGAGAATTCGCTGCGAATGAAGAAAGCTGTACAGATGGCGCCTACGCATTACCAAACACAAGGGCTGAGCATGTCGACGATGGCAGCAGCATTGCAGACATTGAAGAATTACACAGTCAAAGTGTGACACCCACACCGGGTGATGGTGATGTTGAACAATTTCATTGCCAAAGTATACCCGTCGAGTCGGAGACTGAAGAATTGGACTCATCTTCAACTGGCATTGTCGATGCACCATCGTTGCAGGTGTTGACGGAAGTGGTGCCGATCACATCGGTGACACCGGAGGTGAGCACGTGTTCAAGTACTGACCAGCAACAAAAGCCTCAGCAACAACAGCTGTCATTGGCGCAGCAACAGCAACAGCAAACGCACGCTAATAACAACAATACAAATACTAACAATAACAACACTAACAATAGTAATAGCAATACTACAGCAACAACAGCAACAACAGCAAATAATCAAAAACCAAACGCCGCTTGGCGCCGCAGCAAATATTATGAGAATATAACCAAGCAAACCATTAAGGGTTTCCTCTGAGGCGCAAGAAATACATATTTATATACATATTATATATGTATGTGAAAGCGAGTGTGTGTTTGAGGGCGAGGGCGAGTGCGGGGGCGAAGGCTGCGTTCGTTTGACAATGCCAACGTCAACGCCAACGCAACACAGCGCACACAGTTCAGTAAGCTTTGCATGCGCTGCTTTACACATAAATGTACATTCGTACATACATATGTACATATGTTCGTATATTTGTTTGTATGTACGCTTGAATAACAATATCCGATAATATTGTTTTTTGAAAAATATATTTGCTGAGTTATACGCAACTAACCATGAACTTAACCGAAACGCAGTCAACTGAGTGGCATTATTTGTGTAGCTCAGCAATCGGAAATGGCTACTGAAAACAAGCAATCCAAAAAACAAAATAAAAGGTGAAATGTGTATGTATGATTAATTTTGCATATTTCTATACCATTCATGAACAAAAAAATTCCATTTCGATGAAATGTTTGTATTGCCAGGTACTAGGCTAGCAGGCTCAAATTTTGCCTAAATATTTGAGATATTCAAACGAAATTTTCTTGCATAGTTGTGATTTTGTAACGTATTAACTATATGTCGAAATTGATTAAATCGCACTGCTATAACACATAGCGTTCAAACAACTTACTTTTCAAAAATGCGCTTTTCGGTTATAACTTCACCAAATAAAGAGCTAGAAATATGAATTTCGGTAAACTGTAGACTTATATTAAACGCAATATTATATATGAAAATTGTGCAAATCGATTCACTATTACATATAGCTGCCATACAAATATTTTTCAAAAATGCGCTTTTCGCTCAAAACTTTTCAAATTAAACAGCTAATCCCATCAAACTTGGTACACTGCACTCAAATCATTTGTTTAATACTATGAATAAAAAACACCAAAATCCTATAAATAAAACATATAGCTGTCATACAAAAAATTTTCAAAAATACGCTTCTAATTTAAAATTGCACCAATTGTACAAAACAAAGCATCAAATATGGCATATCGAGTGAAAAGATTGGGTAACGCATGGCTATAACATATGTCTACCATACAAATATTTCTTCGAAAATGCATTTCTGGATTATATTTCCACGATTTAAGCAGTTATGGCTTTGAAACTTGATATGCTGTAAACATGTAATGCACAGCTTCGTAAGCGCAAAAAAATTTTCCGTGCTAAATCACTTTCATATATAGCTACCATACAATTATTAGTTCAAAAATGCGTTTTTATGTTATAACTCATTCAAGTTAACAGCTAGAAGCCTGAAATTCATTGCGCTGTAAGTACATAATGTATATTTTGTTACAAGCAAATATCATACAAATCAGACAACTTTTTATTATAGCTGTCATACAAACGCATTTTTGAAAATGCGCTTTTGGCTTATAACTCTTCGAATTATGCAGCCAAGTCGATCGAACTTGGTATATTCTGCATATGTAAAAAGTTAAATACTGATAATGAAAATCAGCAAAATCGCATAATTGTATAAGGTAGCTGCCATACAACTGATATACCTAAAAATGCGTTTTTGTGTCGAAATTTCGGATAGAATAGCAATTACCATGAAATTTGGTATTCTCTAAACAATTTATGAATATATAATGACTATTAAGTGACCTTAACATGCACATACATAAGTGAATGCCAAATATTTAATCTCCGAAAATGCACTTTTGTACCAAAATTTTCCGATTCGACCGCAGAAAATATTGTAAAATATGATTTTATGTTAAAATATCTTCCTAAACAGAATTTTTTTCGGAGTCATAATGGTAATATTACTACAAATTTGAAATTTTCTGCTCCAAATTTGCAATAAAATCATGAATGGTATGAAGTACGAATATGAAGTTTAACAAGTCAACATCACAAAAATTAAAATAATATTCAATGAAAAATGAGCAATATTTAACGCTAAACTAAATATTATGGTTTATATATGTACATACAAATATTTGTATATACCCACCATAATGTTGAGAGATTATTACTATTTTTTTTTTGTTAAATTTATTTTTAAAAATATTGGTCATAAAGAATATTGTAAAGCTCAAAGCAAATATGGCTGAATCTGTTTGTTTTTTTGGTATTTGTATTTTGTATAATATATAAATATTTACATATAAACAAATTCATATGAATACTATATGTATGTATATGCATACGTCGAGTAAACATATGTACATATGTATATGCATGTACTTACGTACACACTAACAAATATTAAAATTGGTATTTTCGCTTTCATTCAATTTTTGACTGTCGTTGATTGCTGCATTTTTTTTTTTAATTTTTTAAATTTTTTATTCTTTTTTTTATCTCGAAATTTTGTGCATTTATCGTTTTTACAGATTTTGATTTTTGTTAAATTATAATAATCGGAGAATTACATAGCTTAGTTATTTTATATATTAATATGATTTAATTATAATAAATTTAATTATTTTAGTTATTATTATTTATATAAAGATGCTACATAATCTTTTAAATTTCGTACATAGATATATTTATATTATGTAATAATATTTTAAGTAAATAATAAATAAATAAAATATAATTTATTTAATGCAATTATTAGTCAATTTCTATTAAATAAATATATATGTACATACATACTTACGTCTTAAGTCATTCCTTGAAAAATACAACTAAATATGCATGAACTATATTAAATAAAATTTTTCCATAAATGTTTTTTAAGAATTTATTTTTAAATTGTTTGTAACATAACTTTCTCTTTCAGCTTTTACATGTGTATCTATTGCGCTGCGAAATATTTTCCTTTCGTTAATTTAAATTTTTTGTCATCTTATAATTAAAAGACTTTGGTGATTTAATTCAGTAATCTTCAATGATTGTGGCCACTTCGGTCGAATCGCTGTGTCCCAAATATTAATTTCTGACGTTTGTGACATTTTTCCAGCAGTTTTTATTTAACAGTCACACTTCTGACACCAATCGAAAGGATGATTTTCCAACACTCACAGTCAACGAATCTGACTTTGCAAATGAGTGTTTTATGCTCTTTGTATACCCACTGATTGAAGGCATACAGTTTCGGAGAGTTCTCTGCAAAATGTTCTCGATAACGAACATTCGATTTATGCACTTTTGAACATACTTTGATTAACGTTCTATTTTTTCATACCACTTTGGGATTTGGTTTAGCAATAATTTTAAAATAAATATTATATAACTTTCTTAATGCTGAATTTCTCTACAAAACATTTTTTGCCTTTGTTGATAAAAAGATAATATTATGGGAAATAATTTTTACTTTTGCTTTTTTTTAAGTAGAATCAATTTTATGCAGGTACTTAGTATCGATTATTATCAAGGTTTAATATCGGTTCTATATAATAAGCATGCTTCATAAACTTTACTTAGTATCTACCCGAGTTATTCCTTCTCTATATAAGATTTACCCAAATTTTTGTATATTAAAGTAAAAAGAGAAAACACTTTATGGTTTGTGCACAGTCCCTTAACAGTTGGACTGCAACTTTTAATTGTTTAAACTGGAAAAACTGAAAAACTATAAAAAAAGTACAAATATAGTTTTAATATTGTATTTAGCTAAGTAATTTTTTCCAGTGTATGCCAGCAAAGGTATGTGTGCTGAAGTTGCGAGTTAACGCTTTCACATATTTTCCGTGCATACTTTTAGGCTTTCTATGAAGTACACCAGGTAGACATTTCCAAGCCTTGTTAGTGTTGTAATATTTGTGAAACTGTATTGGTTTAGCTGCCGATTACGATAGAAACAAATACTAATTTCACAAAATGTTTTGTTGGGTATTTAAAATTAATGTTGTTGTTGTTGTTGTAACCGCAAAATTATTCCCCAAAGTACTTTTTGGGGAATATTGCGGGAGTGACAGTCCTTGGCCGGATAAAAATCCGGGTCGTTCCGGTATAAAGACCCGACTGTCGCGGGAACTATTGGATTTTAGTCGCCTCTTACGACAGGCTTGCCTTACCGCGGGTAAATTCTTGAGCCCCTAACCCGCAGGGGTAATTTAAAATTAATCGTTTTTATTTGATTTTGTTAATTTTTTTTTATCAAAATAAAAACAAAATTTTATAAAAATATCAAATAGCAAAAAAAAATTTATTTATTTATGGAATTCACTTAAGAAAGCCCCAAACAAGGATAACTGGCAGAATGTTGATTTTCGAATGAGTGGCAAATCGCCGCTTTGTAGGCGGCTTCAGCTTGCTGGTCGGGATGAAATGTTCGCTCTTTCGACAATTGTAGCCATTTCGGGTTTCAAAGTCTGTCACTGCTTGAGGGATCATGGCGTTGTTTATTATCAGCGTTGGGTATGCTTCTTCCTTTTGCTCGTACAATTTTATGGGTCACTTTGAGAGCCAACTTTCAATGAGATTCGAGATCGACACCGTGTCTGTAGCGAATGTTGAGGTCGGTACTTTCACACTCCTTGGAATGATTGAATACCTGCCACAGCTGCATACTCCTTTGAGAGTACCTCAGCTGTGAGCCTTCTGTTGGGAAGACATGATTGGAGATCTGTTGGAAATTCGTCGGTAAATTCATTTTAATATTGAGTATGAGTTCTTTCTTATGGCAATACTCTTTCAGCTTAGAACATTTGTCTCACACAAAGATGAAATCGAGTATTTTATTCATTGCTGCTTTATGCTAATTTGATATGTAAATCATTTTGCCTTTTCTGCTACTCCGGAACTGTCTTAAGTTGGTTATCGGTCTGAATGATATCGCAGCGCCAAAGCTTTTTGCACTTATCGAAGCATGCCAAATAGTCGTCCCATTCTGGTGTATGGCTTTCAGAGGGCGCGCCGTTTCACGTTTAATCTCCCCAATCGACTCAAAACTGTGTCCTCGAAGTGGTCTGCAGAGTTTTTGGAAGAGCCAGAAGCCACATGGGGCAAAGTCCAGCGAATACGGTGGTTGAGGAACGATACTCGTGGAAATTTTAGCGAAATGGTCCCGAAGAATGAGTGCTGTGTGCATTATCGTAAAGCACAAGCCACGAAGGTACTTTTTTCTAGGTAACTAAAGCCCGGCAAATGTTCCTCCTTCGGTACATTCGTATGACTATTTGAGAAGCAACTCAGATATCTTCAATGGTTTCCAAGCTCTGCTTTGGTACGCTCAATTTTTTCGCCACCACTGTACAACATATTTCCCATATGCAGCGTCAATGTGTGGAGCATATTGTTGCCTACGTGCATTGTGGTTGCTGCAGACAAATACTCATGGCGGCGGTATATTCGAGCGCCATGCGCCTCCAGCTGCGCGCCTGACGCTAGCATCTTTCTTGTTGTTGTTGTTGTAGCTGTAGTGACGTTGCAGCTGTAGCGACGTTGCAGCACTTCGTGACTATTTCAAC